AGCATTTTGAAGAGAAAAAAAAAGTAGTCCTGGATGTATCACATTTAGGTGTGAAATGTTTTCCCCATGTACTATATACATTTACAGTAGTGTCACTAGGATATGTAAGGGAATTATTCTGTTTCTGTTCATTTTGCAAATCTCCATTCTGTGTGACATTTTTTTTTTCCTTTTATTTTTTTTTTTTTTGTTATCGTCAAAACAACAATATGAGCTCAGCTTGAGTTCCTAAGCGGTACATCTCCAAGAATACTTTGCAATGACCTGATATATGCATGACAGGTTACATGTTCATGAATATTGGTTTAGATTCTTTCATGAAAATAATTCTTCGTAGGACATTGATTCTGGAGGTACTAAAGATCCCATATATATGTGTATATTTTTTCTAGTTGAATTAGCACAAGCCTGGTGCTATTTGGCTATCAGTGACAGCAATTTACTGGATATCCAGTCTTGAAATTTGATTTCCTTGTTTATTATTATTAATATTATTATTATTATGTTTATCATTATTATTATTATTATCATTTTTTTTCTTTTCTTTATTTATTTATTTGTTTTATCATCTGCATTTTTGCTGGTGTTATTATTTTTCTCTCTTCTTTTTTATGCAACTACAACTACTACTATTATTACTATTGTTAGTAGTAATACTTTTATCACCATCATCATCTTTATCTTTATCTTTGTCTTTATCTTATCTTTATTTTTATCTTTATTTTTATCAACTTCATTGTCATCATCTTCATCATCATAATCATCATCTTTGCCATCATCTTCGCTATCAACTTCGTCACATTCATCATCGTCACATTCATCATCATCATCATCATCGTCATCATCATCGTCATCATCATCATCATCATCATCATCATCATCATCATCATCATCATCATCATCATCATCATCATCATCATCATCATCATCATCATCATCATCATGGTTCACACTGCATATTTTGTTAGTGATTCACTATACACTATAATGCTCCATCATTTGTGATTATGAAATGCTCTCTACCGCACTTGTTTTAGTTTTTAAGTTTGCTCCCCCATGCCATATTGTCGTTGTGACTATCATTGTCATTGTCATCGTCATTGTCATTGTCATTGTCTTCATATATATTATTATTATTATTATTATTATTATTATTATTATTATTATTATTATTATTATTATTATTATCATTATTATTAATGTTATTATTGTCACTATCATTATCATCGATGTTATTTACTGCCATTATTACTAGCCTTATTTGAAAAAAAATGTAATTTATCTTATTTTTTTGCTTTTTACTCACCTGTTATTCTTATCTGGTGCCAATTCAATTACTTGTGAGATTCCAGTAAATTTTCCTCCCAAAGGAATGATAATTTTTTTTTCTTTTTTTTTACCTTATTGTTTTGTCTTTGGAAGGTCATGGACTAAATATAAAGAAGTACCATTTTGTCAGAGGGAAATGCGATGGTTTACTTGAATGTTTGTGAATTGGAGATGAGAGCTTTCTTGTGAAGCAAAGAATATGTTTGCATGGCATTTTAGATTAGTCTTTTGAATATTTAGACACAGATACAAGGTGCCATATAGTTTACATGAATGATTCATTAGTTGTCTCAGTAGTGGCATACACAGTATCAACACAGTATGAAAAGTATGTTACCAGGTCCCTTCCTGATAAGGAATTTTATATTCATATTTCTTCCTTGATATTCTGTATAAAAAACGCGTCATTTTGTGATATATATGGTATGCTGAGTGACAACTGAGCTCTTTGTCACTTGGCATTAGTATGCATTAAGGTTCCGTCTCTACTCTCTGCTGCCAAATACCACACCTTATACAAATTTTCTTGCTTTCCCAAATATCTGTTAAATAAGTCTTCTAACTTCGATTCCTTGCTTCAACTATTCTTGATCTATTTGCTAGTCTTATGGATTTTGGTTTAAGTACTGAGACTTGCATAATAGGGCAGAAAGTGTTTTTTCAGACAAAAAGAAGATTAACCAACAGCTTTATGGTCCTTTCTTGTTCAGCCTTTTGTTTTTTGTAAAGCCTTTTGTGTATATGTAGATTTATGTATGTCTTACCTCAAGCATCAAGGAGAGAACTACTATGTTGATATGCTATTAACCTTTTAATGAATTTTTCTCAATTTTTTGTGTGTAATTTTGTATGCATAATATACATTTTCTTTTAGTATTATTAATGCATTATTTATCACATGCAAATTTCAGATACTCTGGTGTACATGCACTTTTTACAATACGTTTTTACATAATGATTGTATGATTTCATGAAAGAGAGAGTAAAAGGACAAATGTAGGAAAGGAGTATTCATTTTGTCAAAGATCTGTAGGGACACATGCACACAAGTAAAAGAATCAGCTTTAAGAAAAGTTTGATTCTGTGACAGTGGAACTGATGTAAATATATGTGTAAGGAGCATTTAGTCCCTTATTAATTCGGAGAGCACAAGTGGTTGTATATTTTCATTATTTTCTCATCCAGAGAGGTAGCTTAGGCTGGATGATATGTAGAACATTTGTTTATCTTTTTTGTTTCATATTTCTGTGCATGAACTATTGATATATTATACTCTGATGTGTTCGTCTTTAATTGTTAAGTTTACTCTTTACTTAGGAGCATTGGTAACTTTGTTTAGTGGTTATTTTGAATTAATGTTAGACATTCTCATTCTCTCATGATATATTTACTGCCTTATCATTTTAATTTCTCTCAGGTTTTCTGTGAATTTGAACTTCAAAACTGCTATTTTTTGAGGTTGAGAATATCTGTATTCTGTTCTCCAAGTGTAAAATACTCAGTTATAGCACAGGTGAATGGCTGCTTTATTGTGACATGAAAGAATCTAAACCAGATTGTATTTTGAATGTTTCAAGTAATGGCTTATTTCATGTTTTCTTGACTAGACATCATCAAATGCTTGCAGTAGAATGTGATCTATTTACGTTGGAGTAGGTTACTAAAAGCAATTCAGATGGTTACTCAGCCACCATTGTCCAATATGATGTTAATGCTTTAGTTATGATTGGTGATCTCTTTTTCCTTTATAAGTATGATTATTATTACTTTTGCTATTTTTATTATTTTTATATTAGAAACTGGTTTTGTGAATACTTTTTAATGAGAGACATTACAGGCTGTGTTTGTTTTTTCTGCCTTCATGGTGTATTTTTTAATATGTAATACAGTATATATGAAAATATTTGATGCGTAGTAGCAGTTCTGTGCCATACTTAAGAGGCCTATATTTATGCAAGGTAGCCCTTATTTTTTTTCATATCAAAGAAATTAGATTTATATGATTAAGATTTAAAGCAAAACAACTGTGAAAAGAAATGAGATTAATAAACCATCTTAATATTAGAAGACCAGTCAAGCAGTGTTTAGAGTGCCTCATCTGCTGTCTTAATTTAAAGGACCAGAGTTTTGTATCTGATATTCCCTTTGCCAACTAATTATGTTTTTTCCCATGGTGTTATTCCCAGTTCCATCTCTTGAGTAATATTGCAATTTTCAGGAATATTACCTTGCTTGCCAAAGGTTTATATTGTTACAAAATCTTGATGTATATTATATGTTGTATACTGTACAATTGCTACAGTTTTAAGGAAAATAAAGAGCTTGAAGGA